GACTGGCACATTCCATGGATCAGCAAATATTCATTTATCTTTTTTCTTCGTCCCTATTGGTTCTTCTATAGCAAGATCAGGCAAAAGCAGAAGTGTAATTCAGTACTTACAAATAGCTAATAGAGTAGATTTTAAGTATTTTCACCACACAAAAACACATACACATAATGATAAGCATGTGAGGTAATGCACATGTTAAATGCTTGATTTAGATTTTCTGCAATGTATACATACATTAAAACATCATGTTGTACACCACAGATACGCATTTTTTACTTGTTGATTTAAAATGGGTGAATATAATTCAGACAAGCAGTCTCTCAGGTGAGTAAGAATAGAAACCAGCCAAAACAGCTCTAACAATATCACTGCCACAAAACACAGGGAAGTGATATAGATCTGCAGATTACAATGGCTTTCTATCAAATAATCCATCCCCTCAACACAAGCTTCCTTTAAAAAACAAAATAAAGAAGGAAAAGAAAAAATGGTTCTTGTACATGAGCAGTAAAAATTTAGAAAGTGAATCTGCAATTTGTCTTTCAGGCTTGGGAAGTCCAATCCCATTACTGGTCTGCTTTTCAGCTCTAATCAACTCCTTCTAAGGACAATATAGGCTCTGAGCACTCTGTCAGATATGCAATACCCTTCGAATGTGGCTTCCATTTGTTTTTCTGACAATATTTCAAAATTTTCCTTTATCTACCCCTTGCTTCATCCAAACAGTTGTCCCAAATTGACTTTAAACTCTCTTGGTTCTTCTCCACCTGTAAAACTCTTATTAACTGTCACTTGCCTCTATGAAGCCCTTCCTGACTGCTAAAGCTATTCATCCATTCAGTAGGTATTTACCGAGTGTCTCCTCTGTGTGGAGCCTGTTCTGGGGACCAGGGAGACATCAGTGAGCTTAAGGACTAAGTTCCGACCCTTCATGAAGAAGGTGTCAGGGCCAGTTCCTGAGTATTGTGGCGAAGGAATCAAGAACTGTCCATTTGCACCTCTAATCTTATTTTTCAAGCGATTATATCTTATCTTTCTCAGTGGATTCTAAGTTCCTAGGGGACAAGATTTAAGAGATATTTTATTATATTCCAATGGCCATTTACACAGTATTTCACATAGATGGAAGAGGAAGAAAATAACAAGGATGAAATTAAGAAAGATAGTTTTCCCCAGTGACCACTAATAACTTGCAACCCAATATCCTTTCTGTATGAGAAAAGACTCAGATGGGCTGTGAGTTCTCTGAACTACCTGCCATTAGATATCAGTGAGCCAAGTTAACTGGACTCTAACTCTAACAGGAGAGCCTCCACCCTTGGGCATTTTCTGTGTCAAATGCACTTCCATTCATTGGACAATAGTCCAGTAGATATTTAGTTCCTGTTTGACAGGATCTAGACATACAGTAAGAATTGTGCACCCATGAAAGTGGCCAAATAACTTTGTAAACCCATTCCTAATGCTGCATCTCAGCCTAGGGGTTTTATGGCTATAAGCAGGGACTAAGCAAGGATTTATTTTATTTTTCTCTTGCACACTTTCAGACCCTCCAAGGTATGCATCTCACTGTTGAAGAAGTCTTCCCAAAATTTTTGTATGGCTTCTAATAACAGAAATACTTCAAATTAAATAGGTTTAAATAACATTTAAAACCAAGACATGGCTTAAAATTTCACATATTCATATGAAAACTCTTAAAAAAATAGGAAGAGTTATACAGATACTCTTGATAAATTAATACAAATATTAATTATTTGGTACACATCAAAAATACAAAAATAATCCACCAAAAGTTAATGGAAGACCATGATGGCAGGTTGATCAGTGGTTTAAGCTAATCTCTGCCTCTTTCTATGTATAGGCCTCAATTTCCTTTTTGTAAGTCATATGGATTTGGTGAATTTTTTTATTTTGTTTTGTCTGAAACAGGGTCTTGCTCTCTCACTCAGGCTAGAGTGCAGTGGTGCAGTCTCAGCTCACTGCAGCCTTGACTTCCTTAGCTCAAGTGATCCCCCCACCTCAGCCTCCCAAGTGACTGGGACCATAGGCATGTACCACCATGCTCAACTTTTTTTTTTTTTTTTTTTTTTTTTTTTTTTGTAGTTGAGACAAGATCTCACTATGTTGCCCAGGTTGGTCTCATACTCCCAGGCTCAAGTGATCCTCCTGCCTTGGCCTCCCAAAATACTGGGATTACTGGGGTGAGCCACCATGATTGGCCTAAGACACCAAACTTAGATTTGGTGAAGTTTAGATAAAACATTATACAAAAAACTCATAGCACAGTGCCTAGCACATAGTAAATGCTCAATAAATGGTATTATATCTTACCTTCCAAATTGTGTGACAATTTTTGGCACCTGCTCTCCCCAGAACAATAGTTTCACTTTGGTAGTGATTACAGTACATTTCATTGTAAAACCTTATGCTGGCTTGGTGTGGTGGCTCACACTTTGGGAGGCTGAGGCAGGCATATCATGGGGTCAAGAGATTGAGACCATCCTGATCAACATGGTGAAACCCCATCTCTACTAAAAATACAAAAATTAGCTGTGTGCGGCAGCGCCTGCCTGTAGTCCCAGCGACTTGGGAGGCTGAGGCAGGTTAACTGCTTGAGCCTGGGAGGCAGAGGTTGCAGTGAGCCGAGATGGTGCCACTGCACTCCAGTCTGGGTGGCAGAGCGAGACTCCGTCTACAGATGGTGGGGGGACCTTATGCTGTATTTCTTTCTTCTATCCCTGATATGGGTTGGCCGTGTCCCCACTGAAATCTCAACTTGAATTTAATCTCCCAGAATTCCCACATGTTGTGGAAGGGACCCAGGGGGAGGTAATTGAATCTTAGGGGCCAGTCTTTCCCGTGCTATTTTTATGATAGTGAATAAGTCTCATGAGATCTGATGGGTTTATCAGGGGTTTCCGTTTCTGCTTCTCCCTCATTTTCTCTTGCAACTGTCATGTAAGAAGTGCCTTTTGCCTCCTCCATGATTCTGAAGCCTCCCCAGCCATGTGGAACTCTAAGTCCAATTAAACCTGTTTTTTTTCCCCAGTCTTGGGCATGTCTCTATCAGCAGTGTGAAAACAGACTAATACAATCCCAAACTCATTTCAATTTGCTCTGTTACTTTTTAGCCTCTAAAATCTATTGCAGTATGGCCATAATACTTTTTAAGGTAAGCTCTTTATTGCTAAGTCAGCAAATGGGGACCTTATGGCAACAC